TGTAAATGATTGACAAACGAACTAATTTGCCAAAGGTAAATCAATCTTTTTCAACCTTTTCAATTCTACAAAAAGGTATGTTTTATTTCCTATTTATAAAACCAACAGACATCTTGAAGTTCTTCTCCATTCGAATGTAAACATTATTCATAGTAATTTTGTGAAGGGCTGTTTATCTCCTCCGGTAGACCAATTCAATTTACAACTTATCGGCATCTCCCCCCTTTTTATTGTTTCTTGTTTAAAATGTCAATTGTTTTAAACAATTTTCAGGAAAGGTCATTTCATTTGATTTACAACTATTGGGATACTTTTGATTGTTTTCCAAGAAAATCGAATGAAATCTCAATGGCTGGTTCGAAGACTGGCTGACTGGTCGGTTTGTCGGTTGACTGACTGACTGACTGGCTAGCTGGCTGTGAAATTGAAAACACATTTTAAATTTCCTTCTGCCATCTGGCTGTAAATCAAGTTGCCAACAGAAACCGGCAACCACAACAGCAACAGCAGAGTTAAGACCACTCCACTAACCTAATCCATGCGACTGGACCAGTTAACAACAACATGTTACAGTTATTGTTTGAAGTGTTTGTTTGTTTTCATCCTTTTTTGATGGGTCCAGTGGATTGGGGTGTTGCATTGAGACAGGCAGTTGGTGAATGGAAAAGTCAACATTACCGGTATCGGTGATTGCCGCTATGGAAACAATGATGATGAAGATGGCCAATGATGATGTAAAATTATTTATATATGTTATGTCGATTAAATAATATTTGTTGTTACAGTGGGATGTGAAATATTCGATTTCAAATTGGATTGAATTTTTTAGTGAATAATATTGAGTGGTTGCATGGATTTTAAGGGAATGGAATTGCGTGACGTTACACAAATGCCAACCAAAATTGAAATTTTGATAAATTTTTTTTTTATAAAATCATGGAAATTAACAACAAACAAGATGAAAAAGTGAGGCTTGATGCCATTATTGTTGTTTTTTATGAAAACAACGTTGGTTCATTTGTGTGGAAAGACGCCTTACCCCCTGGTAAACATTACCATCTTTCTCCGTTAATAAAAAAATTTGTTTTTATAAAATCAAAACTAATGGAATAAGGGATGACTATTTTACAACAACAAAATTAAAGCAGAAGAAAAAGTCGGTCGGAGACCACTATGCATATTTAGTAGACCTCCTTATCAAGAGAATTTATTTGAAGTAGATCATACCACTAATCAACATTTAGCTTTAGAGCATATATAGTTTGGTTTCAGAGGGAACCAATATATTGGATGTATATCCAATTCTGAATTGATTTTCACTAAATTTGACGGAGACATTTCAATCTTATATACCAAATAACATTGATATAGAGTGCGCGATAGAAGGATTATATTAAAACAAGTAAAAAAGCAATAAGTTCTGCCGAGCTGAACATTGAATACCTTCCACCATTTGGCTAAAATTATCCAAATACTGACTATTTGGGAGGGGGGTGTACCGTTATATGGGGGGCTATACGATATCGTGGACTGATGTAGCCCATCATCGAACTTGACCTGCCTGCGGACAGATCTGTGCAAAATTTTAGCTTCCTATCTTAATTCGTTTTGACTGTTGCGTGATTAGAACCAACGGACGGACAGGGCTAAGAATTGTCTTAGAATTCTACGCTGATCATGAATATATATACTTTGTTGGGTATAAAATTATTATTTCGATGAGTTACAACGGAATGACGAACTTAATGTAACCTCCATTCTATGTATTGTGGAGGGTATAAAAATATATATCGGAGCCTAGAAACGTTATATACATTTGGTACCGGACATCAGATACTTCTCGAAAATACCTCTGCTAAATTTTATCGAGATCGGTTCAGAATAGGATATAGCTCCCATATATATTGTGCACCAAATGGCTAATATCAGCTCAAATAGACTGAATTTCGGCAATTACGACTGAATTAATCCTATAAACCAGTACTTCAAATTTTGGTGTACATCGGCTCAGGTATAGCTATAGCTCCCATATATATGTTTTATCTGATTTGGGGTTTAAAGTTTCTCACAAGCGTAATATGCTTTCCAAAACAATGATCATTGGTACCAGATATTAGATACAGCTCTGAAAGAAGTGATTACTCCCAAGAGATAACACCCATATATATTCTCAATCGATTGTGGGTTAATTTTGTACAAAATGGCCAATATCAGTTCCAAAGTCCTGAATTTTGGTACATCAGACTGAATTTAGTCTAGAAGCAAGTACATCGAATTCAGAGAAAATCGGGTCAGATATAGCTTTATCTTCCATATATATATTTTTCATCCGATTTGGTGTTTAAGTCCCTCAAATTCGCAATATGCATTCGACAACAACTTACAGAGCTCGGAAATATATCTGTAAAAATTTATCAAGATCTGTTCAGATTTGGATATAGGTCCCATATTCATATTCAACCGATTTCGGGTTAATTGTGCACCAAATGGCACATATCTGTCAAAAAGTCCTGAATTTTGGTACATCCAACTGAATTCAGTCTAGAAGCAGGTTCATAAAATTATATAGCTCCCATTTATATGTTTTATTCGATTTGGTATGTAAGTCACTCAAATTCGTAATATGCATTCGACAACAATGATATTTGGTACCAGATATCTTATAAAGCTCAAAAATAAATTTGCGAAATTTTATCGAGAACCGCTAAGATTTGGATATAACTTCCATATATATCCTTAATCCAATTTCAGGTTTATTGTGCAAATAATGGCTAACCTCAGCCCAAATGAGTGAATTTCGAACATACGTTTCCATTTTGTGCACCCCTTGGAAAATAGGGTATATTAACTTTGTCATTCCGTCTGTTTGTCGTCTGTTGAAAACACGATACATCCCACATTATTTGACGTAGAGCGTCTAAATTTAGCAGAACAATTTGTATTGTATCTGGGATGGTTGGTATAAATGAGATATATCGGTATAGTCCCCATATAACGGTACCTCCCAAAATTCGATATTTTGATGATTTCTGCCAATTGTTTTTCACGAATTTGTCTGAAAATTGGTATTTTTAGGTCATAATGGTCATAATATCTCCCGATATTCGGTATTTTGATGGTTTTTTCACAGTTTTTCACGGATTTGTCAAAAATTTGTATTTGTTGGTCATAATAGTTCCAGCTCCGGTGTCGAAACATTGTATGTATAGGTCCTCGTTTTGGTATAACTCCCATACAGCGGTACCTCCCGATATTCGGTATTTTGACGATTTTCGCCACGTTTCTTCGCGGATTTGTCTAAAAATTGGTATTTGTGGGACCAAATGAGTTCTTGATCCTTTGGCGAAACATTGTATGAATAGATCCACGTTTTTGTATAGCCCCATATAGCGATATTCAATATTTTGATAATTGGTATTTGTGGGTCATAATGGGTTCCAATGTTGCCTTTACCCTAAGGTGGAGGGTATTAAAAGTTTGGCCCGGCCGAACTTAATGTTTTTTACTTGTGTTTTTAATATAATCCTTCTCCAAGTGATATCATGCACTCTATAGAAAACTGTAGGTGGTACAATCTACTTGAAATAAATTCTTTTGTTACGGGAGCTTTAGTAAATATGCATAGTGGTGTAGGGTATCATATAGTCGGCCCCGCCCGACTTTTGACTTGTCTTTACTGGTTGTTCTTTTATGTTCTTCCATTTTGGCATTCTTTTACAAAGGCTTATATTGATAGACATATTTAATTTGAAATGGTGTAGTAGGTTTGTTCCCACAGTAATCAAAGTGCAGCATACTTCTAGGCATTTATATTAATTCCCAGGCAGTCAATTGTGGCCCTCGTGATGATGTGGGAGTTTTGCCACCACATCGAGGGCATTTTAAAAGTATGTGTATTTAAGTGTTGGTTATAGATTTTTGTATTTTTCAATTTTCTATATATTCACTATATAGAAACAGAGTTTTTTTGAAGAACATGTTTGAAAAACAACATATCAAACAAAAAAAGCTTTTTATTTATCTCTTATAAATTAGTAATATTTCACATTGATTTTTTAGAATTTTTTTTTATCAAAATTTATAGCGATATATATTTTAATTATTTTGAAATGACAATTTATATTTCTTCTCTGCTTCCCATTGTGCATCGACGTAATATTGGTTTTACTCAATAGTTGTGATTATATTTCATTTTAAATCCTCTGGTGGATGCCCTGGTGTTTACCATTTAAAAGTGGTTCGCTTCGTGGTTCGGTTTGTTTCGTTTTTAACCCACATGGTATTGCACCAACAAGAGACGACCAACAAAGCACACAGATATTTTCATCATTGATTTCCCAGTTTATCATGTGGAAATTTGTGTCGATTGTTACACTTTCGCCGCTTATGGAAATGCAACGCCTTTAGGAGCGATGCAGCAGTTGCCCAATTACAACAGCCGACGCGACAACTCTAGCCGCGTATGGCGGAATCAATGATTCAATAAAATTTAGGCTGAAATCCTTTTCCAGTTTTTATTCGTTTCTTGGTTTTCTATGACCAGTTTTGGGTGGTGTGTCACCATTACTATGTGGCATACATATATATATATGTGTGTGTGTTTGCCATACTTCACTGTATCTATCGATTTTTCTATGTTATTTAGAGCATTTCGTATGTGGAGATTTTTCTTTTGTAGCGTTTCGTGGTAAAATTTTTGTTTTTTAATTAATTGCGGTTTTTGGGTAATCGGGGATAGGGGGGCAATGGAGGAAAGAGGATTTTGGTGGCAATTTCTGTTGTGTGTTTCAGCACAAATCATTGAATTGTTTTCAGTATAAAAACCGCATGACGTCCAATGACAGTTATCACATCACATTGTGGCCACCATTGTAACCAACACACAGAGATTAATCACCATCAAAAGGATATTCTGTGAATTGTGGAAATATTCGTAACTTTGAATTAAAAAAAAATATTTATTTGTTGTATTAACAAAACAAAAACACTTGAAATAAACCATGTTTAAATTGGTAAGTCCTTTGTCGGAGGAGTTCAAATGGGTTTAGTGTATTTCGTGGAATAGTAATAGAGTGAAGACATAAATTTATAAATTTGGTAAATGATAAAATTAATACAATCCATCTATTGTGGCAGCAATAAAAATAAGTGGAGAACGTGATTCATAAAAAAATCAAAAACTGAAAAAAAATATTTTCACGCGCTCTTGTCACCTACAAAAAAAATAATAATAATAATAATAATAATAATTTGAACCAAATTTGTGTTCTTTTCAACCCAAAACCAAAGTGATTTTTTTCAAATCAAGCCGTGCCTCTCTTAAGAATCTGAATTTACAAATTCCAGTAGATTCACACGATGCTTGTTCACAAATGTCACCAGAAGGAAACCAGTAAAGAAAGTCTTAAAGTCGGGCGGGGTCGACATTACGATACCCTACACCACTTTAAATATTTGTGCGAATCAAATCATACTAACTATGATCATAGTTATGATTTAATGTCTAAAGGAAGTAATATATGAATCGATTTCTACTAAATTTGCCGAGGCATTTGTGCATTTTCAATTCGGGCTTATGCAAATTACGGCTGTGGCTAACAAGTATAACAAATCGGATGAACAGTATATGTGATTTTCACCAAATTTGACACACTTGTTTCAAAAGTCACTTTGGTCGTAAGAGCCAAATTCCATCCCATTGGGGCTAATATTACACGTTTGGTGCACAATAATAAGCAAATCTGACGAAGATATATGTGGGAGCTATATCCAAATCTGAACCGAGCTCGATAAAATTTAGCAAAAATATTTCAGAGTTGTATTTGATAAATTTCCCCCAAATATGGCTGTTATAGAGTGCATGTTACGGCTGCGGAGGACAAAAATAACAAATCGGATAAACAATAAACATGGGAGCTACAGCTATTTCTGAACCTATTTCGATAAAATTTTAGCAAGCTTATTTTCAGACATCTTCTGGTCATCTATGCAAAATTCTAAACAATTTGCGAAGATACTACACGTTTAATGCACAATAAAAGGACGAAAACATACAGGGTGAGATAAAAAAAAAACTGCAACAAAGTCAAACGACATAATTTTTATTTATTTTTTTCATTTTATTGAATGAAAGCAAAAAAAGTCGGTAATAGCATCAAATTTTAGAATAAGTTTAGATTTGTTCGAATTGGTCACCTTTAGCATGAATTATGGCCTTCAAACGGCCAATGAAACCGTCACTCGCTGCCCGAATGTTGCTCTGCGGTAATTTGGCCCCGGCAAAGCGCTTCTTAAGGTGATCGGCACTTTGATATTTTTAGTGCCAACCTTGCTTTCCAGAATACTCCAGGCACAATAGTCCATCCGATTGGTATTTGAAGATTTGGTGGCCATTTAATACACCCTCCAGAATATTTTCGCGATAATATTGGGGATTAATTCTGATACCACGGTCGATTAATACGAGCGGAGAGCGACCATCGGCTTTTATGGCGGCCCACACCATCACCATGGCCGGCGCCGCTTGAGTTCTGGTGGCCAACCGAAGATGCACATTTTCAACTGACATCTTTGGCAAGTAAACACAATCATTTTGCTTGTTTCATTGGAGAATACCAAATTCGGCAGTTCACCACTTACGGCCAAGCTAAGCAACTCTTTAGCTCTCTTGAGTCTATTTTCTTTCTGTTGCGGTGTAAGTTCTTGCACTTTTTGGAATTGCAATGACTTTACCCAGAGTTAATTTTTCAATATTTCCCGAATGGAATATTGCAATATGTTCAGCTCACGATCCATTTTTCGGCCACTGCGACGCGGGTTTCGATCAAGACACTTTACTTTACTTTTCGAACCATTTCTGCTGATGTTGCTGGTGTCCTACGTCCACTTCCTTGACGTCGGGCTACGCTACCAGTATTACGGTAACGAGCGATGGTACGAGACACAAAAGATTTATTCATATTTAAATGCTGGAGTGCTCTAACGATAGCTACTTGTGGTTTTCCAGCCGAGAGAAATCGCACTACAACGCTTGAATTCCATCACGAATAACTTGTTTTTTGTGGAAAATTCTCACCAAAATGCTTTTGTACGCTTGTAAACAATATAATGAGCTGTCACTGGAATAATTTTAACTGCTGTGGGACGAGTGGCTTAGAAATGACAGCAGTCTGTAGTTGATTGCAGTTTTTTCATCTCACCCTCTATATATTTCTGAAATAATTCCTTCGTTGACCCTTTCCTCCAAAAATGAAATAATATTGGAAATTTTGATTTAGGAAGGAAACATGTTTAATGTATTTGTACATTTGTTTGTAACATGGAGAATGAAGCGGTATAGACCCCAAGTTACTTTTGTTGATCTTCATAGAATCACTTTCTGGATCGATTTATGCATGGCAGCCCATTAGTCAGTCCTTCCATGTGTTTTTGTGAAAAGAAAATGCAGGTCGCATCTATTGTCCGAATATTCCAAAAAATATTTGTTTGGCCCAAGGACGAACCTTATTGAGATTGGTGAGACGCGGTTCAAATTTAGATATAGTTCCCATATATATCTTCAACTGAATTCGAATTAAATGTGCACCAAAATTCAGTTCAAATGAACGGAATTTTGTCACATCCGACGGAATTCAATCTAGAAGCAAGTACATCAAACTTGGTGAAAATCGGTTCGGATATGTTTTATTCGATTTGTGGAGTTTAAGTCCCTTAGATTCGTAAAATGCCCAACAAGTTATATCTAAAATTTGGATAAAATCGGTTTAGATATAACTATAGCTTTCATATATATGTTTCATCCGCTTTGGAGTTTAAGTCCCTCACATTCGTAATATGCACTCCACAACAATAATATTTGGTACCATATATCACATATAGACCTCTGTCAAATTTTATCAAGATCGGATCTGATTTGTTTGTAGCTTCCATATATAGCTTTATCCGATTTCAGGTTTATTGTGCACCAAATGGTTAATCTCAGACCAAATGGAGTGAATTGTGACACTTCCGATCGAATTCAGCCTAGAAGCAAGTACATCAAATTTTGGTGAAAATCGGTTCAGATATATATGTTTCATCCGATTTGATGTTTAAATCCCTCACTTTCGCAATATGGTGTTTAAGTCCCTCACATTCGTAAAATGACCAGGAATACCTCTATAAAATTTTACAACAATGTTATTTGGTACCAGATAACTTATGAAGCTGAATAATACCTCTGTAAAATTTTGTCGGGATCGGATCAGATTTGGACATAGCTTTCATATACATATTCGTCCGATTTCAATTTTATTGTGCACCTTAATGGCTAATATCAGGCCAAATGGACTGCATTTTGGCACTTTCGACGGAATTCAGCCCAGAAGCAAGTACATCAAATTTTGGTGTAAATCGTTTCAGATATATCGGTTCAGATTTTTATATACCTTCGATATAAATCTTAATTCGATTTTACGGTTAAGGTCCACCATATATGTAATATCAGCCAAAATTAGAAATATTTTGTTATATTTAACCGAATATCACCATTTGGTAAAAAAACGGTTCGGTATATCTATTTATTGAAAATAATTCTTATCGAAGTCATATCATGCCCTACACAGCAATGTTATTTAGTACTAGGGGAACAAAGGCCTCCATCAAATTTGTTGAAAATCGATCCAGATATAGCTATAGTTCCCATATATATATTTCATCCGATTTTGGTGTTTTAAGTCCCTCACATGTATAATATGCACTTCACAACAGGGATATTTGATACGAGATCGGTTCAGATTTTTAAATACCTGCGATATACATCTTCAGCCCAAATTGGATAGATTTTTTATATTCAACCGAATTTTCCATTTTTTATTGCTATAATAAATAGTTTTTAATAAAATCCTAATCGAAGACATATCAAGCACTGTACAACAATATTCTTTGGTACTAGAGATACGAAAGCCTCTGTCAAATTTGTTAAAAAAAAAAAAAAAAAACGGTTTCAGAGTTGGATATAGTTTCCAAATTGTGACTTCTCTAAAGCCATGATACCCATCCAAATTGGATGCATAGTTGGTATGATCCACATAAATTTTCAATACATTTTTTTTATGCGAGCTCTAGCAAATACCCATAGTGTCGTAGGATATCACATAGTCGGCTCCGATCGACTTTTTTCCTTACTGGTTTTATTTTTGGAATTTTTATAATATGTTTATTTGTTTTATATCTTGAGAATAACACATTTTTCCTTTTGTTTTGTTTCTATTTTAGTGCATCCTTGCGTTGGCTCTTCTCTGCAGCTGTCAGACATCGCTGGCCGGTTTCCTCGGTGGATATGGTGGCTATGGCGGTTATGGTCATGGTGGTTACGGTGGACATGGATACTATGGCGGTGGTTATGGTCATGGTTACGGCGCAGCTGTGGTTGCTGCAGCTCCGGTGGTCAAAGAAGTTGTTGCTGCTCCTGTGGTCAAGGAAGTTGTTGCCGCACCGGTTATTACGAAAACAATTACACCGGTAATTACAAAAACAATTGCCGCCGCTCCGGTTTTTAAAGTTGCCGCCGCTCCGGTTATTAAAGTTGCCGCAGCTCCCGTCTACTATGGCGGTTACGGCGGTTATGGTCACGGCTATGGTGGATACGGCCATGGCTATGGTGGTTATGCCTTGTCTTACGGTCATGGTTATGGTGGTTACGGAGGTCACTATGGTGGTTATGGTCATGGTTGGTAAATTGTTTGCCGGAGGATGATGGTGATTGCTGGTTGCATAAAAAATAGTATCCTCCTGCTGAGAAATTTTTATTTCATTTGTTATTGTTTTTATTTCCTTTGACGCTACCAAATAATCAAAGTCATATTAATTGTTAATTTTCGTAACAAAAAAATCAAAGAATTGTTGTATAACAAAATAATTTGTTTTTATCGTATATTTTTAGCTTCAGACTAACTACTCAAAATGCATTTTTTGTAAATACTCATTGATAACATTTCCATTATATAATCACAAGTAATTTTTTGACTCGATCGATGATAAGTCATATATGTATGTATTGTGTTTAATTTTTAAATATCACGTTGTAAAGTGCAAATTTTATAACTCTTTTTGTAAATGTTTGTTTATAAAAATGTTGTTGTTATTTAAAAATGAAGCGATATGCACGAGAAATAAGTGCTAAAAAATAAGTTGTAAAGTCTTTTCATTTTAGTACGATTGGAACGGATTTTTAACATATTAAAAAAATTGTTTTATATTAAAAATATTTTTTCAAGAACCAACAAATGAACAAAGATTGTCTTCCGATTAAAAAAAGTGAATTGTTTTAAATATAGTTTTAAGGACTAAATGTGGATTTTAGGACTAATGGATCTCTAAGCGTAGATTTTTTAAAAATATTCTTTCAAGTACTAATGGATCTCTAAAAGTCGATTTTTAAAAATATATTTTCAAGGACTAATGGACGTGGATTTTTTGAAAATATTTTTTCAAGGACTAATGGAAACGTGGATTTTTTGAAAATATTTTTTCAAGGACTAATGGAAACGTGGATTTTTTGAAAATATTTTTTCAAAGACTAATGGAAACGTGAATTTATTGAAAATAATTCTTCAAGGACTAATAGAACTTTAAATGTGGATTTTTAAAAATATTTTTCAAGGACTAATAGAACTTTAAATGTGGATTTTTAAAAATATTTTTTAAGGACTAATGGATGTTTAATCTTGACTTTTTTTTAAATATTTTTTTAAAGACTAAAGGATTATTTAACGTGGATTTTTTTAAATATATTTTTTCAAGGACTAATGGGTCTTTAAAGGTTGATTTTTTTAAAAATATTTTTAAGGACCAATGGATTTTTAAACATGAATTTTAACAAAAATATTTTTACAGGTACTAATTGTTAGTGGATCTTTAAACTTGGATTTTTTAAAAATATTTTTACAGGTAATAATTGTTAGCGAATCTTTAAACTTGGATTTAATGTTAAGGATTAAAAGATCTTTTAACGTAGATTTTTAAAAATATTTTTTCAAGGACTTATGGATCTTTAAACGTGGATTTTTTTAAAATATTTTTAAGGACTAATGGATTTTTGGATTATTTTTTAAGGACTAACAGATTTTTAAAAATATTTTTACAGGTACTAATTGTTAGTAGATCTTTATACGAGGATTTTTAAAAAAAAAATATTTTTTCAAGGACTAATAGATCTTTCAACGTGGAATTTTTAAAAATATTTTTCAAGGACTAATGTTTTTTTAAACGTGGATTTTTTAAAAATATTTTTCAAGGACTAATGTTTTTTTAAACGTCGATTTTTTTAAAATATTTTTTCAAGGACTAATGGATCTTTAAAAGGGAATTTTTCAAAAATATTTTTTAAAGGACTAATAGATCTGTTAACGTGAATTTTTTAAAAATATTTTTTAAGGACTAATGGATCCTTAAATTTTGTTTTTTAAATATTTTTTAAGGACTAATGGATCCTTAAACTTTGTTTTTTTAAATATTTTCAAGGACTAAAAGATCTTTTAACGTGGATTTTTAAAAATATTTTTTCAAGGACTAATGGAACTTTAAACGTGGATTTTTTTAAAAATATTTTTAAAGACTAATTGATTTTTTGGATTTTTTAAAAATATTTTTTCAAGGACTAATGGAACTTTGAATGTAGATTTCTAAAAAATATTTTTTAAGGACTAAAAGAGCCACACACGCAGATTTTTTAAAAATATTTTTACAGGTACTAATTGTTAGTGGATCTTTATATGTAGATTTTTTAAAAATATTTTTTCAAGGACTAATGGATCTCTAAACGTGGATTTTTTAAAAATATTTTTTCAAGGACTAATGGATCTCTCAACGTGGATTTTTTAAAAATATTTTTTCAAGGACTAATGGATCTCTAAACGTGGATTTTTTAAAAATATTTTTTTCAAGGACTAATGGATCTCTAAACGTGGATTTTTTAAAAATATTTTTTTCAAGGACTAATGGATCTCTAAACGTGGATTTTTTAAAAATATTTTTTTCAAGGACTAAGTATCTCTAAACGTGGATTTTTTAAAAATATTTTTTTCAAGGACTAACGGATCTCTAAACGTGGATTTTTTAAAAATATTTTTTCAAGTACTACTCGATCCCTAAACTTTAATTTTTTAAAAAATGGATCTGTATACTTGGTATTTTTAAAAATATTTTTTTAATAACCAAAGGAGACTAAAACGTTAATTTTTGATAAATTTTTGCAAAGATTAAAAGCAGCTCCTATTGTGGAATCTGAAAAATATTTTTTCAAGGACCAACAAAGCTACAAAAGTGCATTTTTAAAAAATAAAATTTTCAAGGAGCAACAAGCCCAGCAAACGTGGATTTTTTAAAAATATTTTTTCAAGTACCAACAGAGCCACAAACGCGGATTTTTTAAAAATATTTTTTCAAGCACCCAGAGAGTCACAAACCCGTTTTTTTTAAAAATATGTTTTCAAGTACCCAGAGAGCCACAAACGCGGATTTTTTTAAAATATTTTCTTCAAGTACCAAGAGAGCCACAAACGCGGATTTTTTTTTAAATATTTTTTTCAAGGACCAACATAGCCAATATAATGGATCTTTAAAAGAGGATTTTTAAAAATATTTTTTTCAAGGACTAATGGATCTTTTAACGTGGAGTGTTATAAAAATTTTTTTTGAAGGACTAATGGATCTTTAAACGTGGATTTTTTTAAAAATATTTTTTCAAGGACTAATGGATCTTTAAACGTGGATTTTTTCAAAAATATTTTTTCAAGGACTTATAGATCTGTTAACGTGAATTTTTTAAAAATATTTTTTAAGGACTAATGGATCCTTAAATTTTGTTTTTTAAATATTTTTTAAGGACTAATGGATCCTTAATCTTTGTTTTTTTAAATATTTTCAAGGACTAAAAGATCTTTTAACGTGGATTTTTAAAAATGTTTTTCCAAGGACTAATGGAACTTTAAACGTGCATTTTTTTAAAAATATTTTTAAAGACTAATTGATTTTTTGGATTTTTTAAAAATATTTTTTCAAGGACTAATGGAACTTTGAATGTAGATATCTAAAAAATATTTTTTAAGGACTAAAAGAGCCACACACGAAGATATTTTAAAAATATTTTTACAGGTACTAATTGTTAGTGGATCTTTATATGTAGATTTTTTAAAAATATTTTTTCAAGGACTAATGGATCTCTAAACGTGGATTTTTTAAAAATATTTTTTCAAGGACTAATGGATCTCTCAACGTGGATTTTTTAAAAATATTTTTTCAAGGACTAATGGATCTCTAAACGTGGATTTTTTAAAAATATTTTTTTCAAGGACTAATGGATCTCTAAACGTGGATTTTTTAAAAATATTTTTTTCAAGGACTAATGGATCTCTAAACATGGATTTTTTAAAAATATTTTTTTCAAGGACTAATGGATCTCTAAACGTGGATTTTTTAAAAATATTTGTTTCAAGAACTAAGGATCTCTAAACGTGGATTTTTTAAAAATATTTTTTTCAAGGACTAATGGATCTCTAAACGTGGATTTTTTAAAAATATTTGTTTCAAGAACTAAGGATCTCTAAACGTGGATTTTTTAAAAATATTTTTTTCAAGGACTAATGGATCTCTAAACATGGATTTTTTAAAAAATGGATCTGTATACTTGGTATTTTTAAAAATATTTTTTTAATAACCAAAGGAGACTAAAACGTTAATTTTTGATAAATTTTTGCAAAGATTAAAAGCAGCTCCAATTGTGGAATCTGAAAAATATTTTTTCAAGGACCAACAAAGCTACAAAAGTGCATTTTTAAAAAATAAAATTTTCAAGGAGCAACAAGCCCAACAAACGTGGATTTTTTAAAAATATTTTTTCAAGTACCAACAGAGCCACAAACGCGGATTTTTTAAAAATATTTTTTCAAGCACCCAGAGAGCCACAAACGCGGATTTTTTAAAAATATTTTTTCAAGTACCAACAGAGCCACAAACGCGGATTTTTTAAAAATATTTTTTCAAGCACCCAGAGAGCCACAAACGCGGATTTTTTAAAAATATGTTTTCAAGTACCCAGAGAGCCACAAACGCGGATTTTTTTTAAATATTTTCTTCAAGTACCAAGAGAGCCACAAACGCGGATTTTTTTTAAATATTTTTTTCAAGGACCAACATAGCCAATATCATGAATTTCTAAAAAAAAATTTTTTTTAAGAACCTAAAGCGGCAAGGGCTAATGATTTTTTATTGATATTTTTTCAAGGACTCTCAGAGGCTCAAACTTGGATTTTTTAAAAATATTTTGTGAAGGACCATCTGAGTCACAGAATAGGATTTTTAAAAATATTTTTAAAGGACACGGAGGTGGATTTATTAAAAATATTATTTTAAGGAACCAACAGAGGAACAAATATGCAATTTTTTATAAATATTATTTCAAGGAACAACAGTGCCACAAACGTGGATTTTTTTTTAAATATTTTTTCAAAAACCAACAGAGCCACAAAAGTGTATTTTTGAAAGAATATTTTTTCAAGGACTATCAGAGTCACAGAATTGATTTTTTTAATATTTTTGAAGGACACCGAGGTGGATTTTTTTTAAATATTATTTCAAGGACTACCAGAAGAGCAAATATGAGATTTTTTAAAAATTTTATTTCAAGGACCAACAGGATTTTATATTTTTTAAAAATATTTTTTCATGGACGAACAGACCTACTCTGAAAATATTATTATATTTACAGTTGTCTCTTAAAATTATTTAATTATTAATACTAATTATTATTACTATCGAAGTGTGTATTTCAATATAAATATTTTTATTAACATTCTTAGAAACATTGAAACATAACAACTCAGTCCACCAGATGCATGATGCTAATATGACTACCTTAAATAAATAATGTTTACATCAGATCGATTCGAAAACATTTCACTTTGTGATATAAAAATGCATTATAACATATGTCCACAAAGGTGGTGTCATTGTGTTGCCATGACGGTCACAAAGTAACATCAAAGTTCAATTTTTGGCCAAATGTGTTGGCAACACGTCAGCATTTT